CAGTGGGGGCAGGCAAGGTAAGGGGAAACAAAGGAGGCAGCAATGCTTGATAAGAAATGTACTCGTTATCTTGCCTATGTAATTGTATGGTATTTTCACAATAAAAACTTATTAATAATAAAAAAACATCATAAAAAATAAAAAAGAAAGCTCCTGAAGCATCTTTTTTTTTTTTTGTCGGTTGTGGGGCTTGAACTCTGGGCCTGGGCGCTGTCCCTCAGATCTTCAGCTCAAGGCGAGCGCTCTACCACTTGAGCTACAGCGTCACTTCTGGTTTTCTGGTGGTTTATTGGCGATAGGAGTCTCAAGGTCTCTCCTGCCTGGGCTGGCTTTGAACCGTGATCCTCAGATCTCAGCCTCCTGAGTAGCTAGGATTACATGCATGAGCCACCAGTGCCCGGCTCCTGAAGCATCTTTAAGTTGAGTTCATCAAGGATTGAAATTTCTTACTATGTGGAAGTTGTTTTTTCTATTTGCTCCAAGTTTATTCTGCTGGAATCTAAGCCAGCCACTCCTTTTCACCAAGTTGGTGACATCTTTTCAATACATTCCATGTAACAAGGCCAGATTGAGAGTTTGTGCCTATGCAATCATTAGTACAACTGTCATAAGTTAGAAGTGGGTTTTGCTAACTCTGTGATCTAATGGTAGCTCATAGTCTGCTTCATGATTGGAGAGAAACAGGCTTACTTACAGAGCAAATAATATACACACATAATATACATACACACATATGTACATATATACACATACATACACCAACCTATATACATTTTCTCTTCTTTATTACCCATTAAAGTAAAAACTAGCTTCAGAGAAGGTTTTGGTTTTGGAAGTACTAGGACTTGAAGTCAGGATTCACAGGCTTTTTTTGGTTTGTTTTGAACTCAGAGCCCTATGCTTGCTAAGCAGGCATTCTATTACTAGAACCACTCAGACAGTGCCCTTCCAAGTTGGTTATTTCCAGGTTGGTTCCTACTTTATGCCTGAGCAGGCTGGGACTGTGATATTTCCACTGTGTTTTCCTTTGTTTCTGGGAGGCCAGGCGCATGCCAGTGTGCCTAGCCATTGACTCGGATGGGGGTCTCACGGACTTTTATACCCATGTCTAGTCTTGAACTTGCATCTTTTCATCCCTCTGTATCTGCCTTCCCAAGTACCCAGGATTATGAGCCTAAGCCAGGTCTGGTCAGAGTTTTTTGCTTATTTACTTAATAGGTAGATGTCTAAGAATTATGAAGGAATCTGAGAATATAAAGTTACTTCCAAGGCCTTTACAACAGATGACCTTGAAAAGATAACTGAAGAATTCTTTACCAGTCTTGGTTAACTTCAGCGTTCCAATCCAAGTTGAGTAGATTTTTGTTTTAAATACATCAATCCATCAAGGAGCTTTTCTCATTCTGAAAGTTCCCTGCTACTTGTGGTCCAAACTCTATAACTATACAGAGGTTGCTTTTCCCTATGTCTTTCTGACTTTGGCTGCTTTGGCTGCTTTTCCAAGCACAGCAAGTGCCTGGAGTCAACTGAGGACTGAGGATGAACCAGCTAATGCCTCAATGAAGTTGACTTTTTCTAGCCCACCTACAAGGGGACAGTCCCCAACATCCTACAGATAAAACTTAGAAGTGATTACTCCTTCCCATCCAGAATGTAGTGGCAACTTGTGGAATAAAACCAGGCTAAGCGGTTGTGTTCTCAAACATGTTTATTTGTAACAGTTTTACATGGCATGTTACAGAAATTAATGGAAAATTTCTAAAAATTTCACTGTTCTGTTGAATGCATTGTACATAAAGTTAAAAATAATGTGTCCATATATGTTAACAAACTGTCATCTGAGGTAAAGTTAAAGTAGGTCTAGAAACGTACTGCAACAGTCATTTTCTCTCTCATCTTTATTAAAAAAATATGTGTCAGAACGCAGAAATTGAAATGAACCAAACCCACAGAGTAAACAATTTGTTTTTAAAGAAGGTGCCCAGTACATTACATGATATGGTTTCAGTAGACACTGGGATGAATATGAGCTATCAAAAAAGTCTTGCGACATGTAAAGATTGAAGAGCTATGGGAAATGGGGACAGGATGACAGATGACAATTCCCTGGTTTCAAAATTTAAAGTGACAAATTTCGTGCTAGTGAAAGATGAGGAATTAACAAGCATACGCATGGATTTGCCAGCGATCTAACCAGAACTGTTCAGGCTCCCCACTCTTTTGGCATTGGCACCTCAGCTCTTGTTTGGAAATGTCAACTGTATTCCTGGGATTGGGGGTGGTGGTTCTGGGCTCATCAAATGGATGCTTGGGGGGAAAAAACCAGAATTCTGCCAATGAGCATAGAGAAGGCAGTTGAAAAGCAATCTCAGCTCTATTCCCTTCATTTTAATACATCACATGGGCATCTTCCAGAAGTTCAGAGCCAGTTACATTTTCGACCATGTTCACTTAATAATGATGTTTGCTGTTATCTTCTGTTACGAAACTAACTCCAGATGGCGAACCTGAAATCCCACCCTCAGCTACAAAGTCACTCTGAATGTGTCAGAAGCAACCCTGAGAGTCAGAATAATGGTGTAACATGGCAGGACATACTCAGGCCATACCGAGGGAGCAGTAGCACCAGGCCAAGAATCAGAATCCTGGATCACCACATAGTTGGAAACTGATTTCCCCATAGGCAGCGCCTATCAGGTCCAACCTATTGAACTCACAAGTTGGGTACCACTCTCCTGGCTGCCACACCATTTTCATTTTCTCCTTATGTGAATGGGTTTCCTGATCATACAAAGTATGCACATTCCTAGAGGAGTCAAGGGACCAAGAGGTGACAGCTTCAAGAGGGCAGTTAATGGCCCTACTTGCTTTTTGGGCTCTTGGGACCTTCCAGATTAGGATAACATTTAATATATTCTCTAATGGGCATTGGTTGATTTATGTGACTAGAAAAAAAATAGATTCCAGGGACTTGATTGTGTAAAACGTGGACTTTAAATCATCTTGTGCATATCCCATTTTGTATGTGTGTGAACAATCATTTTAAAATTAATCTTTGACCTCATTTTAGTTTCTCTTGATCTGAAGAGCCAAAGCACACACAAGCCTATTTAAATCATTTGATGTAAATTCTACCTTTCAAATTTTAAAACCAAGTAGTAAGAATCACTCCCCAGTCCAATTAATTACATGATTCTTGAAAGTTTTCTTCTTAGTGTTAAACCACTAAATTCAACATACTGTCACTGCATAGGAACATCGGGAAAACACATTTGACCTGTATAACAATTCTCTGTAGGGCAAAAATATATAGATTCTTTATGAAAATCATGTGCTAAACATACAAACCAAACACTGCACTTTTTGTCCCATAAATGTAAAAACAGGAAGCTTCAACCCTTCTGTTTCATGTACAAACAGTCCAGTGACTGATGGGAGAGTAGATGGGAGTGGAGAGGAGGAAGAGTTTCAAAATCTGAAGGTCAGGCCTTCTTAATGTGAATTGCTATTTTCTCATTTGCACACAGGGTGGGTACTCTGGCGGGAAGGCCGGATGTGGAGTCCCATGCCCACTTCCTTCTCACTCGCGGCTGCTGATTGGCCAGTAGCTCCCACCAGCTGTCTCTCAACTCCGGCTTCCTACCACCCGCTCCAGAATAACATCTGGAAAGTGAGCCCATCCATCCAGTTTGTCACATCTTGCACTCAATCTGCTACCTTCTCTACAGTGTAATGGCATTATTAAAAAGCATTTTTCATTAACATTTATATTTACAAAAAAAACTGACATTTTTTTCATTAGAACTCCTTAAAGCCATTTCCCTTAAATATTTAAAGAGTTTAATGGTAAGGGTTTTCCTTTTTTTTTCAAGTTATAAAATAAAAATCCCATTTGAATTTTCTGATATACAAAAAGCGATAAGAGATGAACCATTCTGACTGTGGAATCAGTTTGTTATGCTTGAACATTTAATGGCCCCATTGTTCTTCTAGAAAGTTGGTTTTTAAGATCCAAAAACCACATTACCAGAATTGTACCAGAATTATTTGGCAAATGACTTTTCTTTGAAAATGGCACGTGGAGAAGACACTTGTCTGCATAGTACTACAGCAGCAAAGTATCGGAAAAATTAAAAAATATCTTTTTATTGTATTCAGAGTTTGGAGCTTCTTCGAAATCAGATGCATTTTCCTTCTTTCTCATCAAGGGGAATGATCTCCTTTCCTACTCACAGAATCTATGGTCCAACCGAAAAAAAAAACTGTCTTTCTTCAGCAGGATGCAGATTAACTAAAGGGTTGTTTTGGCAGCATTCTTGATCGAAAAGGAACAACCAAGCACTTATCTGTCTTGTGATTTCAAATTAATTCACCTTCGGAGAAACTTTTGTTTTCCCAGTTAGATTTCTTCACCCATATCTAAAAAAAATGTCAAAAAGCATTACAAAAATTTGTACACCCATTAAATTTTCAAACATGACAAAGAAAGGAATGGGAGGGGCAGAATGGCAGACCAGGCTCTGTGGGGCAGAGTGAACATCATCTTACACCAAAAGGCATACAGATGACAATAGTGCGGTCAGAGGATTTCCTTGCTTTTGCATATAAGAAGCCAGTGCCAATCTTGTTGTAATTATCTGGTGCCTGTCACTCCAAATCTGCTGTCTCTACAGTAGTCAACAAGTAGAGGAATGAAAACAGAATTATGATTTCATATCCTGGGTCATCTTACACCCAGTTTAGAGAGCTCAGAATATTTGTTGGGAAAGCATTTGCTTTGATTGATGATTGAATGTTGGGTGTAGGACGTTATCTACTTTTGTGGGGGTGGTAATGTTTATTTTTTGTTGTTGTCGTAGTTTGGTTTTGTTTTTGTGCTGCCATAGGTATATCTGCCATTTGTTGCCAATAACACTTAGTTCCTTCTTCGGCACAAATTCCATTGGACAATCAGGAATATCACTGTGGGATGAGGCGAGGTGAGAGAGAACACGAGAGCCTGTTGAGTTCCATGCCAGTCTTGAAGCACCCACCACAAGCTCACATTGATGTTATTTCTTAGGTCTGTTGATCTGTGCATAGAGAGGCTCTGGCTCCTGTAAAGAGAGGAACAAAGTGAGGGCTGGCCTTGTTGTCTATGTGAGGTTTTCTGAGACAGCTTTAGAAAAGAGGGTTGGGATTCAAAATAGAAAGGTGATGGTTGATGATGGATGACCTTAGATTATTTTTGGGTATGTATCATGGTATGTATCATTTTGCCAACATGTTTATCACCCCAAAGAACTCTTCATCTAGTTCTAGATTTAATTTCAAGGCTGTCACTGACTGTCATAATAGGGAGATTGCAAAGTATAACAGGGAGGTGGGAAATCTGTGAGATATGGGTAGGGTGTTTTTCATTTTTGAGCCTTGGTTTACTCCACTATTAAGCAGAAGGGATACTGTTATCATCCAGGGTCTCCAAAAAGAATTAGAGGTAAGTCCATATAAAACATCTGGGACAATACTTCACATTTCTGGTCTTCAGAAAATGGTAATTACTGTATGAACCAAGTAGAAATCTTCTCAACACAGTTTCATAAATGTCTACTCAGGACCTATAAAATGTTATTCTACCTAGCTTTTTGTCTTTAAAAGCAGTACATAGGTGAGCCACTGAGAAAGAGGAATAGCAACTACCCTTTAGGTCTTCATCAAAAGTTCTAGGACTTGTTATACTCCTCCTGCTCTTTCAGGATTAGTCAGATGTTTTGTTGCTTGCATGGGGTTGGCCTGTGATACTAGGGATTTTCACTACTATGCCACTGTAAATCCATAACCATAACCCAGAGGAAAACAATACTTGGTCCTGTGCAAACCCTATCAGTAGTTCAGGTAGAGATAGTCTAGCATACACTGGAAAAGCAGATCAGATTGGTGTTCTGTCTAAAGCATAATAAGGGCTGGGAAGGTGGCTCAGTGGTAGAGCGCTTGCCTTGCATGCTCGAGGCCCTGGGTTCGATTCTTCAGCACCACATAAGCAAAAAGAAAAAAGCCAGAAGTGGCGCTGTGGCTCAAGTGGTAGAGCGCTAGCCTTGAGCTGAAGAGCTGAGGGACAGCGCCCAGGCCCAGAGTTCAGGCCCCACGACCGGCCCCCCCCAAAAAAAATAAAGCATAATAAGACCTTCTACAAAAATTGAACTTTTCTACCATAACTCTTAGATGCTTGTATCAGAATTAAATGGGTACAGTGATATCTTAATCCTGTCATATTTTATATGGTAGCCTGCCTCCTGCATGTGCACACAGGTGATGTATATTCATTTATTTTCTTGTACCTGTCTGCCTACCATGTTAGGAATTCTCAAGTACTTCTTTTTTTTTGCCAGAAGTGGGGCTTGAACTCAGGGCCTCATGCTATCAATTGGCTTTCTTGCTCATGACTAGTAATCTATCACTTGAGCTTCTTCCCCTCCTCCTCCTCTTCCTCCTCCCCTTCCTCCTCCTCCTCCTCCTTCTCCTTCTTCTTCTTCTTCTTCTTGCCTGAACTCTGGGCCTATGTACTGTCCCTCAGCTCTTTAGTTCAAGGCTAGTGCTCTACCACTTGAGCCACAGTGCCACTTCTGGCTTTTTCTGCTAATGTGGTACTGGGGAATCGAACCTAGGGCCTCATGCATGCAAGGCAAGCACTCTACCACTGAGCCACCTTCTGTTTATTTATTTTATAAGTGAGAAATTAAGTAATTTGCCATTATTTACACTAGTATGTTTAGATACATGAGAAGAGAGAGAGAGAGAGAGCACTAATACTTCCATCTGTACTATTTCAGATTTACAGAGCCCCTTCACATCTTATTTTATCAGCCTAACAGTCCCAGGAGCAGCTTTTATTCTCTACATCCTCATTTGTAGATAACAACTGAAGTTCAGAAAAGTTGTGCAGCCTCAAGGTCAACATGCTGCCTCTCCTGCATACTCTATCACACTGCTTGCTTTCTGTGGTAAAGTGGGAATAGCTCAGCAGAGAATGCCAAGACTATCAGTTTATAGACAGGAATGTGAAGCCAAGCAAGGAGGCCTCTGTCACCTTAGCATCACAAGGTTACTAGGCAAGAGTTGAACAAGGTCTGTAGGCATGTGCAAAACTAGGACTCTGATGGTATCAGAGCCATCTTGGCCCCCTAGGGTATTTGTACTTTCCAAGGGAGAAGGAGCTTCCTACCTTTCAAAGAACCCTGTTTTCTAATGTAGAGAGTGCTAGTCTGTCCACCATGTTCCTCTCAAGGATTCCATCCCAGGAAGAGTAAATGTGAGTGTTCTTCCGATGGCCTTGTGACAGAAATGTGGAGGCCCAATCTCTCCCATCACCTTCTGGATTGCCAACCTCCAGTTGTGTCTGCCATTCACACATACGAAGGTCACACGTATGAAGGCATGCCAATTTAGTGAGTGACTATATTGGAGTTTCTAGTTTCTCCCCCATTCTGAGACTTTTGTCCCATATACACTTCAATTTGGTTTTACTCTTTCAAAATTGAATTCACCAAAATTGAGACCAAGATAGATTATTTATTTATTTATATGGGCACTTGGGATTGAACCCATGGCTTTGTGCAAGTGCTACTACTACTTAAGCCATACCTACATGGGACTTGAACTCAGGACCTGGGTGCTGTCCTTGAGCTTCCTTGCTTAAGTTCAGCACTCTATCACTGTGAACCATAGCTCCATTCCTGGGTTGTTTTTTTTTTTTTGGTGGTTAATTGGAGATAACAGTCTCAAGTGCCTTTCTGTCTGAGCTGGCTTTGAACCATACATAATCCTTAGATCTCAGACTCTTAAGTAGCTAGGATTATACACCAGTGCCCAGCAGTTCATTTTTGAGGTAAGGCTTTGTCATTACTTTTGCCTAGACTGGCATCAAACTTGTAATATTCCTGCTTCTGCCTCTTGAGTAAGTGGAATTATTAACATGAGCTGTCCTATCCACTAGCAAGATGATTTATTAAGTACCCAATTGATTCCCTGCCAATATCCCAAATTGTTTCTAACACCTCTTCAATGATCGAATATGAACTTTCCTCTCTCTCTCTCTCTCTCTCTCTCTCTCTCTCTCTCTCTCTCTCTGTGTGTGTGTATTTTGGAGTAGGGAACATGGAATAAACAATGGAGTATAAAAATTTGAGAACAATGGCTGGATGGGGCATTTCCATTGTCTGTGTCAGGCTTCAAGGATGCACCCTCTTGTTGCCCGCATGGATTTTCTCAGTCATCCTTCTTTTTTAGATGCCCTAAGAAGTCAAAGCTGCCTTGATCTCACCCTACAATTTGCTCTATTCTAATTTTGGAAACTAATTTATCCAACTGAGAATGACACCTAAAAACAGAAGACGACAGCAGGCTCAGACAGGGTAATTAATGCCACACTGCATTAACTTTCCGCAGCTGAGATAAATATTCACACATCTCCTGCTTGCTGGAATTTAGCTTCAAATACTCAGCACAACAGCAGTAACAACTGCAGTCAGTTCTCAATTATCCCCACTAATGAAGGGGAGCAGTGGTGTGGAAAAACCCCAAGCAGCAGATGATCCCAAAGTCTGACACTGTGATGCATTATACGTTCTGGCAATAGCTTTACCTTCCTTGTTACAGAATCTTAGACTGTCAGAGCAGAGCTTCAGGGAAGTTAACAAATCATTTGGTCAGAAATTTCCAACTTGGTTTCTGGCAAGGTCACTATGGAGTCTATGAAGTTATTTTCAATAGCCCAAAAGTCTAAATGGAATTATATACATGAACACAACCTGCTGTGGATGATTTTGCTTTGTTTGGTAGATATGACTACATCTATGATCTGCTTCAAATCCTTCAAACTATCCCCCACTTGCCCATAGGGTAAGGTCAAAGATGCTCAGCAGGGCACCAAAGGCCCATTAGTCTTATGGTCCATTAGGACTAAAATAACCCCTTCTTGACCATGAATCAATACTCAGCCTTCAGGTCACATAAGTCATTTTTTTCAACTTTCTTTTGGCTTCTGCCATATTGATTCTTCTGATAAGAATCTAGTTATGACCATTTTCTGCCTGATACAGCCCAATGACTTCATGCTTCCCAGAGGAGCACATTAATACCTCAGGATGACACACAGGCCCTTCCAATATGGCCCCACTAGTCTCATCTACATCCATTTCTCTCTCCTCCTTCACCCTAATAGGTCAGAGTTTGCCCACCTCTGATAACTTTTTTCAGGGGGTTCTTTCAGCTTTTATTCTGCAATGGGAGTTCATACTTTGACCCCCAGAGAGGGCTTCATGAGACCCTAAGTTAATGGGACACATTCAATCCTTGGACATCATCTGTACTAGACATCAGTCCTCCATTCTGTCATGGTGTGTGCTAGTATGATCTATGCCTTGTGCAGTAGGATCCCAGATTCTGAGCAAAATGAATACCCACTAGGAACAAGGAAAATAAAGATTTGAATGAGGAAATGAATGGTTCTTTTCTTCTTTGAGGTTGGTGAATACTTAAAGGAACATTAAACTTACCTATGAGATTGTCTTATAAATATATGTGGAGCACAACAAAGTAGATGCAAACCATGCAGTGAAACTAAAAGAAAATCAATCTCCCAACCTTGTTCAAAATTTGACTTTCCCACTTTCTTGGAGATGCAGTGAAAATTTGGAAGTATGGAGTGTCAAGTCAAGAACACATTGGCTGCCATTTCCTATGCTGAAACCAAAGGCCACTGACAATATGCTTGGAATGGAATGAGTTGGGTTTATTTACCATTATAGAGAAGGGAGCCATTGGGTATCTCTGAAAGAGGGGTGATACAGTGCTCATCACAGGATTTGGGCTGATGTGACATGATTTAGAGAAGGGTCAAAAAGTCAGGGCTTCTTCTGGCTTTTGTGAAGCAGGGATAACTCTGGTTGTCTGAATAATTCTTTTCTGGAAAGCAGGAAGGATGGAGCCCTGGCCCATCCTTTAAGCCAAGAGAGAAGAAGATTTTTTTGGTTGGTTTTATCATTTTGACAATGTTCATGTTTCACTTGCACTTGGCCATGACATCTTTCTGGGGCCTTGTCTACTATAGATGTGTGTA